GGCTCCCAGTGACGTCACGGGAGTAGACGTCGCCACGCTCCGCCTCCCTCCTCTCCTTTTAGCCAGGGGATTCACATGCCTGGCGTTCGTGCAAGGTGTGTGATGCCAGGCAAGTTCCTCCGTGACACTCGGCCAACAAACCCCCCCCCCCTCTATTGGGCCGGACAGAGCCCCATCCACAGTGGCCACCCTCAGCCTCTGAGTCCTGCCACTCTGCTATCCACAGAGCGAACACCGACAGTCTTCCTCTCACTCCTCTCCCAGCTGGATACGCCTTTGCCTGCCCTTCAGGTTGAAACCACTAGGTGGCATATGAGGACCGCTGTACTCTAACCGCAAGTACTTCCACTTACATCAGTTGCTATACTGAACAGGTTACTGCCTTATCAATTAGCTGCTTTATTGAACTGTGTGCTATATGCGCAGTGTTTTATGTGGTAATAATGACAGTATAAGCCGTTAGTGTACAGAAGTCATGTTCTTAGAAGAGAACCCACAGAACAGGAAACGCGTCACAGGAAACAGTGCCACAGAGATGAATCATAGAGTTGCATATAAACTAAACATAACACTCATAACATCTCCCTCTTAATAAATGATCATTGTGAAATGTGGATGAATCCTTGTAATAACATATTTGCAGGTTAAGGTGTACGTTTAATAAACTGTGATAAACTAGCTTTATCACGAGTTAACTTTACTCAGCAGATCTTTGTTTTTCTCGGCTGCACAGAGGCTGTTTAACCAGTTGACATCCGCGGTGTTAAACCCCCTTCCCATCCAGGCCATTTTTCAGTATTCAGCGCTGCGGTACTTTGACTGACATTTATTGTCAGCACATGCAGCACTGTACTGAAATGAATTGTATACCCTTTTTTGGGGACAGATGGAGCTTTCTTTTGGTGGTATTTATTCACCACTGGGGTTTTTATTTTTTTACTATATTAAGGAAAAATTACCATTTTTTTTTAAAAAAAAGTTTCCCCTATATTAAATGATAAAACATTTATTACCCAATTTATTTGTAAAATATAAAAGACGGGGTCATGTCGGGTAAAAAGACACCAACATGTCAAGCCTTAAAATTGCGTGCGCGCGCGAAACCTCAAACGATAATACCCAAAATTGGCCATAGGCGATGCTTTAAAAGCTGTTACCGCTCATCAGTTTAGTGTTATCAGTGATTGATGGCCCTAAAATGATTGCTCTGACTGCGATGTTCGCGGCGATATGTAACATGTGTAGCGCAATTGTAATTTTTGTGTGCTGGGGCACCGGACGCGTATTTACGTTTATAGGCGCGTAAACGTGGGGGTGGGGGAGTTAAACATTTTGGGGGGGTTTTTTCCCCCTTTTTTTATGTGACTTTTTATTGTACTTTTTTATGTTACTTTTATTTTTTATTTATTTATATTTTTGCACTTATTGTTATTATATAGGGGGATAACAATCCCCCTATATAATAGCAAAGGCACACTGACAGGTCCTCTTTATGGAGACATTAGGGGTCTCGGACCCCTAATGTCACCTGTGGACCCCAAAAGAAGCTGATGAAGCCGAGATCTGCTTCATGAGCTTCTTCTCTCTGGCTATAGCAGCCAGATGACTGACAGGTGAATGCAGAAGTGATGTAATACACATCACTTCTGCATTCACAGCCCGGACGGAGGTCAGCAAGGAGCTGATCTCCCGTCCTCCTCCTCCTGACGCCCTCCGAGCCGGTCCCGGAATTCAAGATGGGGCAGCGGATCCTGGGATTCAAGGACGAGAACGAGCACATAGACGATCGGCGGGCTATGGAGCCGTTGATCGCCTATATGTGAAATATCCGGTAACGGGTGTGTGCAATGGTCGGGTCTTTTCTGCCCGTGCGTACCCGCTAGGGGGCGCGCGCGAGCAGAAAAAAAATGCCGTCTGGAGACGGCAACCCGCCAATGCTGCAGTGCCGTCCGTTTTTTTACAACGGGCAGACGGCAAGAGGTTAATAACCTGCGAAAAGAAAACATCACACGAAACCGCTGTGAAAGGCTGAGAAGTTATCACGGTGATCAGTTGAGAAAGCAATGTGGGGAATGTATTCTGAGCTGCACAATGACATCCTTTGTGATAATCTACAATCCTCCTGACAGGAACGTAGTTTAATCTGCCAAACCACCTAATAACAATATTACAAAGCACCGCTATAGCAAAGTGCAACAGTTATTTCACCATTAAAATTATAAAAATTGCTAAAAAGCAGGATTTACATGTTCTGATTTGTTCAGCATGTACCAGTACAAAAACATGAATCAAACTACCAGAGGCAGCCACAATGCGAGGCAGTGATGGGGTTAAACATTCTAAAGGGGCACTCTGATGGAGCCTAGCAATGTAAGTGGGCACTCTGACACATGCTGGAAATTAGAATGTTTGGCGTCCATGAAAAAAGCCTGCTGTCCCGAGATAGGTGCATCAGCACTGTGTGTGTGCAAACACACTAGCAGCAGGTATTAATGCATCATAAACGGCGGACCATGGTGGCGAAATGGTGTTACAGACTGTTATGTGTGGAGTGCAATGTTCACTGCATCTGCCTCTAAAACATACTCCCCAGACATCCTTCAAGCTTAATTTGGTGGGCCTGTTTCTGAGGGAGAGTGAGACTTCAACAACAAGCCCTAAGGTCACATGACCTTACTGAACTTTCCCTCACACTACACAGATACAGTGAGGGGACTTGAAACTGCCACTGTCACTCTCATGAGGGAAGGGTGGCATTAAGACAGACTTCGCTCCTTTTCCCTCTCAAGGCTGTGACACACTGCAGGCGAAGCAAAGGGAAAAAAAAACCAACCTTCCACTTCGCACCGCAGCTTGTCTACACTGAGTTTGTCCGGGCACATCGGAGCTCGGGATCGCCAGCGGCAACGGAGGGGTCCGCACAAACGCACGCATATTACAAGTGATCGGACGTCTCTACAGACGTCTGAACGCTTGTATGTAAACAGCCATCGCTGGATGTTTACATTCAAAGCCAATTTCCCGTTCGTGCGCGTGGCCTAGCGGCGGGCACGAGCAGGGTGGGTTAGGACATTTAAAAACGCTCACCCGCATTGCGTCCGCTGTCTGGCCGTTTAGGCCCCGTTCACACTGAGCGATTTATCGCTCGCTAATTCCCACGATATCGCGGCTATTTACCCCGCAATGACTTATCACGGGTTATTAAACAGCATTTTCTAGACTTTTCACTTTGCTAAGGTGAGAAAAGCCTTCTCACTGCTTATCACACTCTTTCACAGTTTATTAAACGTGCACCTAAGTCTTTTCGGGGGTTGTGAATGTCTACCACTGCGGGTGAAAACTGGCCCTCGTTGCATAAAGTGTTTCTTAGCCCTCTCCGAGGTTACTGGGCTCTTCTCGACTCATGTGACATCATGGTCTCTTCTTGTTGCAAGTGTGCATATTCATTGCAGGTGGGACAATTGCTGACAAAATCTTTGATTTCACCTTGCATATTAGGCCAGTAAAGAGTATCTCTGTAGCATGCCTCACCCCCGATGTGGCTTGAGTGAATGCGTAATAAGATTTCTGCTCTCAGTGACTTTGGCATTATAACTCTTGGGCCTTTGTATAAGATACCATTTTTTTGTACGCTGATCTCATCTCTGAAGGACCAATACTCCTTCACAATTGCAGGTGCTGCATCCTTGTCATCAGGCCACCCACTTAGAACAATAGAATTCAGCGCTTGTAAAGTTTTGTCTGTCTGTGTGCTGTAGAAGCTGATGTAGCCGCTGATCTGTAACGTTAAGATGTCTGCTTGATTGATTTCTGCAAATAAATGTTGTTCCTGTTGCAGCAAACAAACTGTATGATGCTCATGCTCACTTCTGGGTGTCACATGATTCGCAGTAGCTCTGCTCAGGGTATCACTGATGTACATTTCGCTTCCTGGCTTGTAGACAACATTGAGGTTGTAATGCTGCAATGTAAGCATCATGCTCTGCAAATGCTTAGGAGCACACAAAAGGGGCTTTTTAAATATGGCTATTAGTGGTTTGTGATCTGTTTCAGCTGTGATTGTATTTATTGCCATAAAGATAGTGATGGAAACGCTGGCAGGCAAACGCAATGCTTAAACATTCTTTTTCAATTTAAAATCTGATTGGCTTCCACAATCTCAAATTCAAGTTTGTGCATATGTCCACGTATGCAGCATTCTGTTCGGAAACGTCCCATTGATTCCAATAGCTCCCCTGAATATAATTTCAGTTTGGTGCCACTAGGCTGAAGAGGTGCCCTAGGTGCCAGGGGACATTATTTGCGTCTGGAGGAAAAGAGGTTTAACTTTTGCATATGGAAAGGATTCTTTATTTATAGCTGTGAAAATGTGGAACAGACTCCCCCAGGAGCTAGTTCTAGCTAGCTGAGTTAATTTGTTTTAAAAAATCTGAATGTATTCCTAAATGCACAGAATATTACTGGATATTGAGTTCACGACTTTTATATTTTACCAAAAAACTGGGTAATAAGTGTTTCATAACATAATGTAAAAAAAAAACTTTTGTTTTTTCAAAATTTTCAGTAATTTTTCCTAATTATAGTAAAAAATAAAACCCGTAGTGGTGATTAAATACCACCAAAATAAAGCTCTCTCTGTCCCCAAAAAATGGTATACAATTCATTTCAGTACAGCGTTGCATGACTGAATAAACGTCAGCCAAAATATCGCAGCGCTGAATACTGAAAAATGGCCTGGCCAGGAAGGGGGTCTAAACATCTGGTCTTGAAGTGGTTAAAGGTTTTTTTTTTTTTTGCCTTCCTCTGGATCAACAGTGGATAATTGTGGACTTAGCGTTCTGTTTAGGCTTCCTTCCCTTTTTTTTTAATTTTTTTTAATTTCATATTTCTATAGGTTTGAACTTGATGGACATGTCCTTGTTGACTAACTATCTACTCACAAGAAAGAGCATCCTGTGTCAGTATCTTTTGAGTAATGACATGTCTTTTTTTTTTGTGTTTTTGGCTTTGCAGAAATTCCTACAGATGATAATTTTGAGGAAAATGGTGTTATTGTGTTAACAGATGAAAACTTTGAAAGTTTTGTTGCTGATCAGGACACTGTGCTTTTGGAATTTTATGCTCCCTGGTAAGTAGTTTTGTTTTGTTTTTTCTACTCGTATAGTATTTCTTGACAATGTCTGTCTTTTGCCATACAAAGAATAGAGATGAGGGATAGTAAGCACAGTTTGTCTTTCTAAAGGAAACTAAAGGAAACTATCTTAATTACATTCAATTTACAGCATATGTTTTATATTAACGAATGTAGTTTAGAGCCATGCTAATAGGTGTATCGCAACTAGGGGTTGTGTAACCTTGAGGGCCTACTCAACAGGGACTTATTTATTCTTGAAACAGAAGCTTGGGAAGATAAAATTATCTGCAAAGAATGCATCAACAACCTCTAAACCAGTGGTAAAGGAGCTCAGAAGGAGTTGTAATCATTCATTAAACCTTCTGTGCAACTGGGTCATCATGGCTTCAGGGTCCTGCTCTTGAAGGTTGGGACCACCACAGCTGTGACTCCAGTTTACCCCTAATGTCTGTTTCCCCATTTGTCATGGACGGTGGGCTGGAGTGAGCACTGAGTGGGTACAGGGACGCTTGAATGGCCGGGCGATGTGTGGGCTATCAACATCCTTAGCTCGCACTCGGACATCTCTATCCACTCCATAGAAGGTTTGTCTTTGTTGTGAACCTCCTTGGAAGTGCTTGGACACACTATCCCAGATAGCAAGGATAAATTGCCACAAACTTGGGGCAGGGTTAAATTGTAATTGTTTACTTGCTGCACACATTCCTGGCAAGTTGTAGACTTGCACAACACTTGCACCACAAGTTCTAGTTGACACTTTTTGAATTTGTAGCAAATTTGCTTGGCAAGTCTACAGCAAGAGTCCTGCAGGTCTTGGCAAGAGCTCTGCAAGTGTACAGGACTTTTGCAAAGCACGTTGATCTGGAGACTTGCAATGGAGACTTGCTGTAATTGTGCAACAAAATTGTATAGCTTGGCAAGTCTAGCAATAGTTTAGCAAGTCATTTTATAACTTGCAGCTCAATTGCTTGCTATCTGGGGTGCTGGTCAAACCCTTTTTTTTTTAAATGTTCCTTTTAATCCTAATTTTAAAGTATAATTAAACTCTGTTTTTGTATATACCCTACTGCTAGCAAACAGTAGATATATGCAAAAAGTTTAAAAAAAAAAAAGAAGCTTTTAACCACTTGAAGACCAGGTGTTTAGACCCCCTTCCTGGCCAGGCCATTTTTCAGTATTCAGCGCTGCGGTACTTTGACCAACATTTATTCCGTCATGCAACACTGTACTGAAATAAATGTTATACCATTTTTTTGGGGACAGATAGAGCTTTCTTTTGGTGATATTTAATCACCACTGTGGGTATTTACTATATTTAGGAAAAATTACTGAAAACCGTCTGAAAATGGAAATTCTCGGGCGGCCGCAAAGCATCTAGGGGCGGGCGCATGCGCAGTTCACATTTTCGGCCGGGAACGAGGAGAGACACAAGGTAAGTCTATGGACGTGTGCACCCGCATGCAGACACCGTGGGACAGGAAGTGTCGGCAAGGACAGGAGTCAGAGCTGGATCAGAGACCTGCAGTAGCGCTGCAGGGACAAATGGAAAAGGACATGAAAGAAGATCGGATTAAGAAACATCATTTAAGGTAAGTGCTTTAACATTGGGGGTAGGGAAAAAAAGTTTGCCTTTTTAATGTCACTTTAAGTTCTCTAGTGGTTCTACCCACATACTGGTAGCCACATGGGCATTCTAACACATTCTTTCATATAAAATTTTCGCCCATTTGAGTTTGATACAAAATATGTTCTTTTTGTTTTCTAAATTTTGGTTACTCTACATCCCATGCAGTACCAGCAGGGATAGAACCCATACTACCAAAGTATTTATTTTTTTTAAAGATTGTTTTTATTGAAGAATATACAAAGAATTAACAAAAATAGTCAAGTCAAGAAATGCAAAGTCCGCAGTTGCATGTGACATTGAGGCATATCATGTAGATACTTAATTGGAAGACTGCCCATGAGCCATATAGCATGAAATCTCACAGGAGGCATCCGCTTGCAGTCTTCTGAACATGTACAACCTAAGGGTAAGGCTAAAACATAAGAAAACTGTGGCTATAGCATGCTGCAAAGGAGCAATATAGGAAGGCATGCCCCATGGGTCACAGCCTATGCCAAGGAGTGCAGAAACTGAAATGGAGGAAGAGGAAAGAAGGAACAGAAGAGAAAGAAAAAGGTGAGTCTGAGGGTAGAAGGTACACAAGTAGGAGAAGATGAAACAGGAAGCTAGTTAATGTCGAGAAGAAACGGAAAGGGGTGTGACCGGTCCATCTCCAATCAGTATGAACACCTGAGCCATACCCTTGAAGGAGGGCATGACCGGTCAGGTAGCTATTAGTTCAATTAAAGTTTCAGTGGTACAAAAATGAAGCCATACACTCCAAACATCGTAGAATTGGGGGTAGCGATCATAAAAACTGGCCGTAAGTTCTTTCATCCTGCAGAGATTGCATTTCGTCAACCCACTCCTTTCAAGGTGGGACTCCTAGAGGATTTCCAATTCCTCGGTATGACAGCTCTGGCCTCCAGCACAAAAAATTGGAGCAAACCTTTTTTGACTGACTTAAAAGTCCCTTGGAACATAGAAAGAAGGGCCAGCTGTGATGAACACTTAACGCTTGTGCCCGTGAGTTTCTCGTATGTAGCGAAAATGAAAGACCAGAAAGATGAGACTCCAGCGCAATTCCACCATATGTGTAACATGGAGCCGTTATGCAAGGAGCATCTCCAACATAGGTCGGAGGTCTGAGGATAGATAGCTTGGTGGCAGGTCGGACAATAATACCACCTGGACAGGGTCCTAAAATTGCGTTTTTTGAGCTCTGCTGGCCACTGAAATTGTGTGAAAGCGAGCGACTTGCTAATATCAGATGCAGAAAAGATACAGGAGAGGTTCTCAGCCCATTCTGTGAAATATCTGGGAGTGTCTGAAAACAGGAGCCGCAGCAGAAGATGGTAGAGATGGCACATCTCAGTGGAGTAGTGTCCACGCACAGACGCTCAAAGGGGTGAAGATCCCTATGCAGGTCACAACGTCTAGTGAGGATGGAGTAGAAGTCTCTGAGTTGGAAATATTCCAGCCAGCACCCAGGAGATGCTGAGGCAAGGAAACATTGAGGGATTCCATCTTTTGCATGTTTACCTTAAAGTTACTCAGGGATAAAAAGCGTTGAAATTCTTGGATTAGGGAAGGCAATGCAAAGAAAGGGTTAGTGAAATAAAACAGGAGATCGTCGGCATATAGACAAAGCCCACCTGGTCTAGATGAACTAAAGAAGGGATGTGAATTTTCAGTCTATTAGCAATACATTTTGCATATATTTTCATATCCAAATTAATTAAGGAGATGGGCCTGCAACTGGCACAGTTGGAGGGGCCCTTCCCCTACTTGGGCAAAACCGTTATATGTGCCTCCTGAGACTGTTTAGGAAAGGCGCAGGAGTCCGATACGGAATTATACGTTGTCACTAGAAGGGGAAGCAAAGAATCATGGAGGGTTTTGTGAAACATACTGGTATAGCCATCTGGGCCCGGGCTCTTCCCAGAAGGCAATGACCTAATGGTATCCGAGATTTTCTCTGAAGTAAATGGAGTTGCGGGGAAAGATGGGGGAGGTCATTCGACCTTGGGTCAATATCTCCTCCTTAAGATGACCTGCCCCAGAAAAGAAGAATAATTGTAGAAAGTGCGGGCAATACTCTGAGTGGACCAGCTCCTGTTGTTGACAATTAACCGAGGACACATGGGTCCGAAGTCCTTTTCCACTTCTTCTCCACTCTTATTACCAAACTCATGAAATGATCTCGGGGTCAAATCCCTGTGACGCAATTAGGCCAAATGTAGTACAGAATGAAGTTCAGCATGGCAAGTGACTGGTTCCTGGTATAGAGACGGAGAAGGCTTCAATTTATGTTTCAATTCAACGTCGGCTAGTTTCGTCCAAAGCGTAGAAGTGTGCTTGTCCCGCTCCTGCTTCACATCTAAATCCCTGCTGGATCAGAATGCCATGGAGGACACAAGTGCCTCCCACTGCACTGGGGGCAAGATCTCATCTGACGAGTGATGCTCCCGGAATTCCCTAATCGAGGATCTGAGCTCCTCCATTGTAGTAGGGTCCCGCAGGAGTGACTCACTGAGCCTCCAGGAAGGGGAACTTTTAGATGTGCCAGGTATTGAGAAACTAATAAACGGGGAAATGGTCTGACCAAATTTGCAGGCCAATAGATGTGTAGTCATTTACGAAAAGCATTTAAAGAGGGCAGGGAGAAGTGAGTTTTCACGAGGGGGAATCAATAACAAATAGGTAAATAAATGTTGGCCAGTGTAAAAGGCTTTTGGTATATTAAACATTGCAGAAAGATCTACCCTCAGGGTCGGACAACACTTTAGAAACTATAACCGAGAGACAAGAGTGGAACCCCACAGCTACGCCCTTGGATTTCTGGTGGGCAACTTTGGAGCACCCGAGGTTTGGAAATGTGTCTCCTGCAGGAACAAGATCTGAATCTTGTGCTTATGCACATAATACAATACCTGAGATCACTTCCTAGGATTATTGAATCCGTTAACATTCAGGGAGTCAACATTTACCAATGCCATGAGGACCTATAAGGTATGAAATGCGTAAAAAAAAACAATGGGCACACCCCTGAGAAAAGAGGAGGGAGGTGAGAAGAGGATATGAGAGAGTAGGAATAACCAAAACATACTGGGGGACAGGACCCCAGTGAGAGGTTAACACTAAAGTAAGGGAACAAAGCCCAATGTGTGGTCCCAAATCTCCGTAGAGGAACTGCGGGAGCACAATCTAGTGGGGGCAAGGAATGTGATATGGTCCGGGAGCCCCCCCCCCCCACCAGCAGATTAAAATTGCAAAACTGACTAATAAACAATATGATAGAACCTACCAAAAAAGATTAGCTGAAACTCAAAACCTAGGACATGAGACCATTAAAAAATAGACTTCAAACATGACCCCTGAGTAATAT